AAAAACGTGTTTTCTGTTTTTTTTTCTTTCGCGAGAGGCACGGTTTTGCTTCCTCCAAAGGCATGGTTGTGCTTTCGTGAGAGGCACGGGCGTGCCTCTTTCGGAAAGGGAAAAAACGCGTTTTCTGTTTTTTTTCCTTTCGCGAGAGGCACGGTTTTGCTTCTACTAGAGGCACGGTTGTGCTTTCGCGAGAGGCACGGACGTGCCTTTTTCGGAAAGGGAAAAAAATGCGTTTTCTGTTTTTTTCTTTCGCGAGAGGCACGGTTTTGCTTCCGCCAGAGGCATGGTTGTGCTTTCGCGAGAGGCACGGGGTGTGCCTCTTTCGGAAAGGGAAAAAACCCGTGTTCCCGATTATGTGTTTTCGTTGGTTTTTATGTCTGGTTTTTTTCATGAAATAAAAGTTCGTCAAAACCTATCAACATGTGATCTAGTTTTGAAGATCTCGACGCGAGGAATTCAATGACGAAAGCGGTTTGAGATTTAGACTCACGGTTTAAGAGATAAAACATTTTGAATAAAATGAATCTACGAAAAAAGAGAAAACTCCCATGTTGCGACAAGTGGCGCACAGGCAGCGCGCCACTTGTCGCAACCTGGGGAAGTTGGAGTGATCTCCGCAAGGAGTACTCCTTAATTAGTGATTTCGGTGCATAGTGGTACTGCTGCGACGTTTTTGTGGCCTGGGCCTTTGGCTACCTACGTACAGGCCGAGAGGCCCCCCCTGGATTTCGGGGGCCCGGGGCGACCGCCCCCCCCCCCTCAGGGCCGTCCCTGTATCCGTGGGATCACTAAGACTTAAATCTCAGTCGACTTTATATCCATGAGATCACTGTGTTTAAGTCTCGGTCGACTCTATATCCGTGAGATCCGTATAAAATCTTTTCTTTAGTTTTTTCTTTCTCTCTCTTACATGTTATGCTACTTGACTGATATTTGATTAAATCTCAGTCAACGGATACCTAGCCATACCCATGTGAAATACTTACCTGACATCTAAGTCTACCACCGTCCGATGTTTGTTATCTTTAAGATACACGTCGGGTTTGATTTGGCTGGGTCGCGGTTGTGCAGCATCGCGTTGTCGTGCGAGTCGGGCCGTTGATGGTTTTCCTTTTCTGGGTCGTGTCGTACGTTGTTTGTGGGGACGGAATTGAGAATCATGCGAAGGAGGCGTCACTTCTAGTGGCCACTCTCTCTGTTCCTCTTCCTCTCCCCTTCCCTGTTCTTCCATTCTCGTGCGACAACGCTAATTCCAAAGGCGAGGTGACGGTCTGGTGGACTCAAGGTGACAGAGATGGAAGGGAACGACGACAGAGTGAGTCCCCTTCATTTTTCTCCCGCGAGACGCACGGCCCACACCGCGGCGGCTGTCGGGCGTGCAGGTGGCGAGGACGTAGCCCAAGACCGCGACCGTGGGGGCGTAGGCTGTGCTGCGCGAGGCGGTTGGGGAACTGCAGCATCGTGTAGCCGTGGCCCTGGCGGACTGGGATAAGGTGACATGCCTACAGCATGTCACGCTGCAACATGCGGCCACCCATCCGCCCTCCAATCTCCATCCAACGTTTCACAACGATTCAAGGCAAAAAAAAATTCTCAGGCGATCAGACTACACAGGCGAAATGCATCAGACTATTGTTTTCAAAGTTTGTTCAATAGAATCACCAACTTTTTAGTCATTATACAGTACAAACAGCAGCTATATTTTTTTTACCAAATTTTCATAAATTAAATTTTAAACTTAGCTATACAAAAAAAAAACTGTATGCAAACAGCAGTCATATAGCAACAAAAACAACAGTAATTTAACAATACAAATTAAGTACCACTTGATTGGAATTCAGTACCACTTGCTTGTAATTCAAAAGCTCGATATATTCAAATTCTCCACCAAACGGCCATTTCACTTATACACTTAGGCTACAAAATAATATAGTTAACCCCATACTACTATAGTTAACCATGTACAAAATACTATCTAACAAGTTCCATGCTAGAATAGATAATCATCATCATCACCACCATGTACAAAATATTATCTAAGGAGCTTCCATGCTAGAACAAATTATCATGGTCAACCGTCAAGAGCTGGGTGAAACTCACGATATTATTGCACTCTTGAAGCACCAAATTTACTTCTTTGTTGTTGTCATACTTCTCCACTTCTACTTGAGGCTGCACATCATCTATTTTCTTTTGATGCACACCATCCTTCTTCCTTTGTGGCTGAGAACAAAAATCACTGTAATTAGTTAACAAATGAGCAATAACACCATATCATGTACCAATTGCAACATACATTTTCTCCCTGTTTTGTTGGTCCATTAGTTACTCTATGCTTCCCCTTGAGTAACTTATCAAGCCAATTTTTCTTTCTTCTTAAGTTCTTTGATTTAACCTCTTTTTTCTTCAGCCGTGCAGATCTAAGCAACTCATCTACTTGTTGCACATTTGGGTCAGCATTCTCTTTGTCTTTACATAGTTCATTCATGGCACTAGTGGATGCATTGAGTAAATCATGTATATGCGGAGCAACGAAATCAAGTGTATTATCCAATAGAATACAACATTGTGGAGAGTTGGCTGCTTTTTGTGCCATTTTATGAAATTTATGAGACAAATCCTTGTATCGAAGTTCAGCTTCCATTTTTGGATTTTCTACCACATTCCTTCCTTGTATCTTGTATACTTCCATTGCGAGCTTCTCTAGTCCACCTCTTCAAGACATAATGTGCCGGCAATGTCTTTTATGTTCATCAAATCAAGCACTTTTAGACCATGTGCACACAAGATTCCTGTCCTATTGAACATCCCACAACTACATGAAACCTTTTGGTTAAAGGATCACCTATCACTATGCGTTCCTCCTCAAACTTTAAATCTCCATGCAACCTCGCAATAGCGACAACAAATCTGTTATTTCCATCCAATACTCTACAACATGTAGTCGTTGATCTTTCATACTCACCTTGGAGAGCCTCAAAAATAATCGGAGTGTATACTTCGCTTGCTTCCATCAACATAGGAGTCTTCATCTTAATTATTGGTATATTCTTTATTGCATCGAATTCAGATTCTAATTCAGCTCTTCTTTTTACTGCCACTGTCCTCTCAAAATGCATCAATTCAAAACTGTTCCAATTCACTTGAAAATGAGAACTGTTCCAATTCAAAACTGTTTTGTTTCTTCCAAACAGCGGTGTGCATAAAAATCAAGACAGTTTTACAATTCAGAGCAGAAGTCAGCGGCCACGGATTTAAGCTGGCGCAGGCAATGGCGACATAGCGAAGCCAAATTCTAACAGCAACCGAAAGACATGGAAGAAAATACTCAGATCTTCACCATACATCAAAGAGTTAATTGACACAAAAATCAGAGATCAGCTATTGAGTCAGCAAAGCAAAAATGCGTTCCTATATACAACAAGATGAGATCCTGAAAATTTACATTCCTGGGTCCCCACATGCGCGGATGCTCGTACATAGCAGGATGGGGAAGCAAGACCAAACAATTTTGGGCCATATATCAGCAGCTAGACTATCGACCAGCATCATGAAGAAGAGGCTAGGCATGGCGTAAGGAGGATGGTTCACCCAGTGAGACGGACGCAAACGACGAAGCCCAAGCTCGAGCATTACTCGCCCCTTTACTTAGGTCCCTTGTCTTACTGCTTAGTCTAAGCTAATTCTGAAACCAAACTAAACCCAAACCGTGCTAACTCTGAACCCAAACTGCACAGGCATCAAACTGATGTGAAGGAAGAGGAGAGGCGACCTGGGAAACCGGACATGGCGGTCAGGGTGACGCTCCTCCGTGGACCGCGGCAGCACGTCGCTGCTTCCCGGTGCACGACGGTGCTCTTCTCGTTCCCCGGAGACTCGGTAGAGATGGTTCCCATGAGGGCTCGGCGGCGCTGATTACCGCCGTGGCAAGGCAGAGCGCTTCACTTCGGCAGCGGCGGTGTGACCCTGCGGGTCCTCCCCGGCGGTGGCGCTGCCCTGCCTGTCCTCTGCGGCGGTAACGCTCAGCGCCAATCTCCCCTTTTCCCCACCACAAATTCGTTCCGAGCGGGCAGACCACCACGATTTGGTCCAAGCCTATGTAGTTTATCGCCTGGGAATATTGTTTTACCTTGCATCACTGTGGAACGTTGGATGGAGATTGGAGGGCGGATGGGAGGCCGCATGTTGCAGCGTGACATGCTGTAGGCATGTCACCTGATCCCAGTCTGGCCCTGGCTCGGGTACGACGGTAGCAGCACGTGGCCTCTGCCCCTGCCTTCGGCGTAAAAGAGGACTTCTTGCGTGTCTTAGACCTGATCATTTGGGGCGGGCCTTGTTTGGCCTGGGCTTGTCAAAGCCCGAAGCAAAAATCTAGAGCCCTGGTCTGGCCCGAAACACATGAACAGTTACATTTTTCAACTAAAATAATAATATTTTGGAAATTAAAATAATAAATATAGCTATATTTCGAAAAAAATATCTATCTATGGCCATTCCGGGCTTTTTTGGTCTTTCGGGCTGGGTATCATGCCGAAAAATGGAGCCTGAGCTTGACCCGGATGCCGGGCTTTCGGTCTCGGGCCTCCGGGCCAGGCTGTCCATGTCCTCGCGGTGAGCAGTCATGGCTACTTTCCTAGCTAACCTAGTTGTGCGTTGCGCGTAGTTGTCCGTATCTTAGAGCAAGTACAGTAGTCTTATTCAGCAGGCTTGCAGGTGGCAAGGATGTAGCGGGAGACGACGAGCGTGGGGCGCAGGCCGTGGTGCGTGAGGCACTTGGCGAACTGCAGCATCGGGTGGACGTGGCCCTGGCTCGGGTACGGCAGGAGCAGCACGTGTCCCCCGCCCCTACCGTCAGCGCCGACGACGACTTCTTGCGTGTCCTTGACGTGAGAAGCCATGACTAAGCTAGCTGCACATTGCACGTAGCTGTCTCTACCTTATCGGAGGCTCGGAGCACAGGAATAGATAATGTACTCTTTTTTTGCGGGATAATGTGGATTTTATTCCTTAGAAACAGAAATACAATCTACTAGTACATCATTAGTAACGTTGTCTGGCACACGGCGCAACCAACAAGCGGTGCTACCATCAGATCTTTCTATACTAGCTAAACTATGAGCAACTCCATTTTGATGACGCTCAATTTTCAACGGAATAAACCCACGCGAGTCCAGAGTTTTCTTGATCTCCAACATGAGATGACCATATGCAGAACGGTCCAACGAGTCATCAGTCAATGCAACAACAACAGTCGCGTTATCAGATTGAATTACAATTGGCAATTCTGACCGATGTATACTCATTGTCATTCCTTCAAGAATAGCGCTAATCTCTGCTTCAAGGGCATCTTTGCAGTTGAAGAGGTACCGGTAAGCCGAGAAGATAACCTCCCCCACGGAATCCCTAAGCATCATGCCGGACCCAGCTAGTCCTGTCTCCTTCACAAATGATCCATCCGTAGATAGTGCGACCCATCCTAGGGGAGGTTTTGGCCATGGTGCACGTTTAGCACTAATAGGAGCCGGGATGACCACATGTTCATCCATAGTCATTTTTCCTTTAACGATATCCTCGATGCTGTATTTCTGGGCCTGATTGAAAGAAGATAAATAGCTGCATAAAAAGTCTTTTGTGATGTCAAGCGGTGGAGTGGATTTATGGTGCAACTGGTCATTCCGTATAGATCATATACGCCAAAGCAACATGATAATCATTGTACGTATCTTCTCTGTCCTATCCGGAAGCAGTGACATTAGCCATTCCGGCCCCGTGTACATTAACTCATCATTAGTCGGGAGTGGCCAAACCTGCCTCATTGTATTCCATATCGCGATAGAGCTTGGACATGTTATTAATGCATGAAATGAGTCATCCTTTGAATCTCCACACAACCGACAAACTTTAGATTCGCTAATGTGACGCTTTACTTTGCATTTTGCAGTAGCTAACACGCCAACTGATACCTTCCATGCAAATGTTCGCATTTTATGTGGTACTCGGGCCTTCCACACCCAGTTCCAACAGGCGCGACCCCCCTCGAGTCTTGAGCTGCTAGCTCCTGGGTTGTGATGTTGTATGTGCTCCTACATCGCCCAATGGTAGGCCGATTTGACTGACAATTGCCCAAACTTGCCCAGAAACCATGCAAGAAAATCATCATCCTGGCTGGGTGATGTTCGAATGCTCCGTATCACTTGCACATCTACTGTCCAAAAATGTTCATTTAGAAGATCAATATTCCAATTACCTCTATGATCAAGAAACTCAGAAACTCTATTCAGGGGACATCTTCTTTTTGGGGTAATTGGTTTTAGCACAAGCCTTCTTGGGATCCATGGATCTCGCCAAGTTCTGATACTATTGTCGTTGCCCACTCTCCAGATCATGCCTTTTTTCACCAGCTCTAGCCCATGTTCTATACCTCTCGAGACAACAAAAGCATTGCCAGTAAACACAGTATCCACGAAGCTGCCAGAAGGGTAATATTTGGCACACAACAGTCTCGCAACTAAACTTTCGGGGTGTTCAATTAATCTCCATGCCTGCTTGGCTAGGAGATCTTGGTTAAAAGCTCTCATGTCCCTGAATCCCATTCCACCCATAGCTTTGGGTAGTATCATTTAATCCCAAGCAAGCCATGCCATTTTCCTCTTCCCACTCTCCACATCCCACCAGTATTGCCTTATCATGCGGGTAAAGTCATCACAAACTGACATGGGAAATTTAAAAACACTCATAATATATGTAGGTATTGCTTGTGCAACCGCCTTAATAAGAACATCTTTACTTGCCATGGACATATACCTCTCGCTCCAATCCACTAGCCTCTTGCTCAACTTGGCTTGAAGAGGTTCTAATTTACCTTTTCCCATTCTCCCCTCTAGGACCGGAAGACCCAGGTATTTTGGTTCAAATACTTCCTGAGCAACTCCCAATATACTTTTGACTTCATTTGAGGTCGTCACTGGGCAATTGTCTGCAAACACGATGGAACACTTCGTCGGGTTAATGAGTTGTCCCGTAGCCTCCGCATATGTGTTCAACACCCCTTGACAATTGTAGACACTACAAAAAAACTACACTTCCGTGATGATACATGTTTGTCACAGTAGGTCACGGTTTCTGTCATGCATGTACATCCATGACGATTTTATGACAGAATCAAGATAGTCATACTTGTGCTGTCGTAGAAGTGTTCCATGACATTACCAAAATTATCATCACGGAAGTGTCCACTTCCATGACGATAAATCGCGCGTCACAGAAGTGCTTTCGTCAAGGATGACCAACACGTGGCATCCACCGTAACGGAACGCCGTTAAGCTATCGGGTCCGGTTTTGGATCCGATAACCCGTTAACAGCCAGGACCAATGGGGATTTTCCACGTGTAAAATCATCATTGGCCGCAGGAAACACGTGTTACCTCACTGTTGGGACATATGTCATCCACTCATTGGACAGGAGGCGCCTATGATAGGTCAACATGTGGCACGGCCCGACAGTGGCCCATTCCAGTGAAAAAGGCCGGCCCAGTAAAAATTAGCAGGCTGGCCCATATAAGGCCTACTTGGGTCAGGTCCATTTAAGCCCACAGCCCATACGAGATGTGCCTATTCAGCCCATCAGCGGCCCATTAAAGATTTGACACCATTGCAGCCCATCGTTAGTTCGAGCCCGTTAACAGCCCGCTATATATTTGGGCTCAATATCGGCCCGATGAGATTTCGCCCTGTTAACGACCCATTCAATGGATGGGCCAATTTTCAGGATATACATCTTTCGGCCATTTAGCGACCCATTTAGATGTTGGGCTAATTTCCGGCCTGGTGTGTCTTTCAGCCTATTGACGACCCATAAATCTGATGTGCCATTTGTAGTCGGACCTGAGTTTCGGCCTTTTAGCGGCCCATTTAAGTGTTGGGCCAATTTCCGGCCCGGTGTCACTTTCAGCCTATTGACGGCCCATAAATCAGTTGGGCCATTTGTAGTCGAACCTGAGTTTCGGCCTTTTAGCGCCCCATTTAAGTGTTGGGCCAATTCCCGGCCTTGTGTGCCTTTCGGCCTATTAACGGACCATAAATAAGTTGGACATTGGTAGTCGGACCTTAGTTTTGGCCTTTTAACGGCCCATGCCCTTCATGGTCCAATACCAGCCCAGTTTCTCTTTCGGCCTGCTAAAGGCCCACAACACAGTTGGGCCATTTACAATACGACCTGACTTTCGGCCTCTTAGGGGCCCATGCTCTTCATGGTCTAGTACAAGCCTGCTGTCTCTTTCGGCCTGCTAAAGGCCTACAGTATAGTTGGGCCATATGTAGCCCAAACTTAGTAATGGCCTGTTAATGGCCCGTGAAACAAATTGGGCCCACCTGTTGCCCGCTTTGATGTCGACCTATTAACGACCCGGGAGGTAAGAGGCAGGCCGACCATTAACTTTCGGCCTAGTAACGACCCATTAACTTAATGGCCCCACTAAAGTTCGTACATGTCTTTAGGCCAAATTAGATAATTTGAGCCCATTACGACGAGCAATTATGCACAGGACCAAAACCGATCAAGCAAAGATACGGCATACAGGGAATAACGTTGCACATCCAGCATATATTACATGAAATTACATCCAGTGGGCAATCAAAGATTGATGCCAGTGCAAATAAATGAGTAGAACCTAACCATCTACAACGTCACAATCTGCAACCTCAACACAGATGACGCCCATAAGCATGTGGGCAAGTTCTTGCTGCTTTGCTACACTGTCTCTGAAAACATTGATCAGTTGTTGTGTCGCACGACTCTGCACCTCTGATTCATCCACCATTTCCATCATTGCTATATAACAGGTACTTACATCAGCATTGGAGCACAGAGAATTCCCGCAAGATATTTTCCTCGAATACGATCCCAATGGAGGAAGTCTTCTATCGTTTAAGCTTATTTTCTAAAAGAGAGATGGGTAAGAAACATGTAGAAAATATGATCAGAATGCTATAAAATTTCATGATGCAAGGATACGCACACGCTTCTTAGAATGGAGTTGACATTCTTTTGCTGGACTGGAGCGGACTAGTTCTTTGGCCATCGGAATCTGCTTATTATCAGTAGGAGTTGGGTTTCTCTGTGCTGGAGCAGTATCTATAAAAACTGGAGTTGGTTTATTATCTCCTGGCGTTTGGATCTTTTGTAAAGGCCTTCTTTGTAACCCTTCAGATTCTAACATAGCCGTCTTCCCCTTGCATGCCTTGTATAGAAGAATGGTGCTTTAATTATAAAACATGCTACAACAGAGAGATGGAATAGGTACTGAAGAATAGGAAGGCATGACATATTGACATGTATTCCCTCCATTCGGAAAAAATAGATGGATCTAGGCGTATTTCAGTTCTAGATACATCCTTTTTATCAATTTCGGCAACATGTAATCCAGACGGAGGGAGTATGGTGTAAGAGCTAGGGATACGACAGGACAACACAGCAAAAGAACACTAGTTGAATGTAAAACTGTATGCTAGCGGAATACGTACAGAAATAACTAAGGCAACATACACGTGTATGATTGGGAAACTAAGATGGCATTGCAACAGAGCACTAGAACAACATTTCAATGTAAAAAAATATGGTATGGTAGACAGATGAAGGACATACTGATGAATAACAATGCATAAGATATTCAGAAGCATGATGTCCAAATTAAGCAGATGGCATTGCGTTAAAGTAGAATGACAATACTTGAATTTGAAAACATGTTATCATGAATGGAATAGGTACTGAAAAACAGGAAGACCTGACATATTTACATGCATGATCAGCATGCTAAGCACATGGCATTGCAACAGAGTAGATACACTCCAGGACATTATATGCATGTTGTACCCATATCATGGGCCAAGTTAGAGCAAGGACCATGTGGGGTAAAGAGGATTAATCATCTTTCTGCAAGTCTTCTGAAGAACTGCCTTTACATGTTCCATCATATTGGGTATCATTGACATCAAGTTTATTGGCCTTTACATTGCTCCATGAGGTTCTTGTGGATATATCAGTGTGTGCAATTATATCTGACATGCATGGAAGACAACTAGTAGTTAGATTTATGTAATGAGTGCCTGTAGGAGATGACATAAATAGTAGGACTGGGGTTAACTAGCAGCAACATGTCTCATAAACTAAAGGGAGAACACAGATGAAAGCTACAAAATATGTATCGTTTGTACTCGAGATTAACTAGATGGCACACAAAAGTATTAAAGAACAACATAGGCAATACTAGAAGTGGTATAATAATATAATCACCAGCCTGTGGGATAGCATTGGCTGATGATGATAACTATGGAACAACGTTACCTAAAGAACAAGTATCTTAGCTGAACTATGGAATAGTGTTAACTCCTAAACAAGACCCGTAAGAGATCAGCATGAATATACAGTGAAATGTGATGATCTATTTTCCATGCTTAGATGAATAACAAAGCCATAAATGTTGCACACAAGTAAGATGAGGGTACAACCTATCTGGCTGCCATCCATAGGAGTGAGCATCATGTGCTGACTTGT